CTCTACCACTTGAGCCACAGCGCCACTTCCGGCTTTTTTTTTTCTGCTTATGTGGTGCTGAGGAATCGAACCCAGGGCCTCATACATGCAAGGCAAGTGCTCTACCACTGAGCCACCTTCCCAGCCCACAAGAAAAATTCTTAGTGGTAATGTTTAGTAGGATAACTAAATGCCTAAAATTAGAATTGCCTTTACAACACCAAAAGATTATTTTAAACTTTTGCATTTGAAAAGTAGAAAACTGCAATAAATAAAACTAACAAAGAAGTTCAAATAATGTGTAATCTGGTTTTTAACAGTTCTAGTCACTTAAATTCAATTTTTGTAAGTACAAAGCACTTCTATTGTAAAACTATATGTCATTGTCTTCTCCTCCATTTGTCCATGGAAGCTGTATTAAATTCTGTAGGGAAAAAATACATATTGATATGCCTGAGGCCTTCCAGTCAGTCATGAGGCCTGAACTCTGTCTGGGCCTGGGTGCTGTTCCTCAGCTCTTCAGCTGAAGCCTAGATCTCTGCCACTTGAGCTAAAGTGCCACTTCCAGCTTTTTCTGCTTATGTGGTACTGAGGAATTGAACCCAGGGCCTCATGCATGCAAGGCAAGCACTCTACCACTGAGCCGCCTTCCCAGCCCTGAAATTTTACATCTTAAATGCATGTTTAAATCTGTGTTCTGGAAATGTGTTAGTATAATGCTCTTGTAACAAAAAAAGATCACTAGGAATATTTTTTAGTTGGGCTTAGGTCTTGATTTAATGTGAAGTACAGAGGGCTTAATTAGCTATAGGAACTCACAGAAAACACTATGTACTTGTGAAAAGCTTTATCACTGTATCAGTGAATAAAACTTTGATAATAGTAGAGTATCTTGTTCTCTTAAGGTTTCGAAAACGATATGCCAGAGAATATGAAGGGGAAGCAGAAGAACGAAAGAAACTTCGACAGGAAAATGGAAATTCACATGCACTAGCATAAATGAATATAATTCAGGTATGGCTTTTAAAAGATAGATCATATCCTATAATATTGAAAGGTACACTCTTACCTCAAGAAAAATGAGTAATATGTCATTAATGATGAATATTCTACAAATACTGACTTGATTAGAGTTTATTTAGGTATGAAATTGAGTTTAATTTTGAGAATGGGCTATGGATTATTCTGTATTTAAAAGGAAATAGAGATAGCAGTTCCATCCTCAAGGAACTTAATGTTTAATAGGAAATATTGTAAGTAATCAGAATACTAGAAGGAGTAAAATAAATATTGCAAGGAGCCAGTGGATTGTATTTCATTGATAATGAAAGTAAAGAGTGAATGGGGAAAATTTGCAGAGGAAAGAGGAATGAATGAAGTAAAAAATGAAGGACACACTGAAAGTTATTCAGAAAGAAGAACTTTATTTCCTCAGTTACTTAGAAAGATGATAGTGCATCCTTAACACATTGATTTTCTGCCTTCAGGGGATTTGAGATGCTTGTTAGTATATTCCTGTGTCTACCCTAAATCCACTGAAATAGCATTTCTGTTTTTAATGAATACTCCATATTTTTCTGATGGAGCTAGTTATGATTTAAGCCTTTTACAGAATTAATCTCCTAACTTCTGAAATGGATAATTGTTCAAATCAAGTTATATTTATATACTGCATCATTTTTTAAAGTACTGGCTTATGTGCTGAAGTTAATACCCTCAAGTAAGAACAGAATTGTAGTTATTTAATATCACAGATTTTTTGGTTAGGCCCCAGAATAATCTTAGCAAAGGATTAGGCTGTGTTGGCATATAGTGGATACCTATTAGCTGGTAGCTACTATTATTATACTCTTGGCACTAATTAATGTAGATTAACTGTATATCATAATACACCAAATCACTTAAACTTTGTTAATAATTAGATCCACTGTGTATATTTGGCTAGGAAAACTATTTTTCCTGACTGTTGTTGCTTTATTAAGCAATGGTATAAGCATTTGTAATTAATATAATTTAGAAGAAGTGAAAGAGAGATTTAAGCCACAGTGAAATCTTGTCTTTGAAAAACATCTTCCAGTTTTCCTAAGACCCCCATAGAAAAAAGTAATAGACACTTTGATTCTTGGGTTTTCTTTAGAATTTTCTTAAGGCTATGCTGGAATTGTGCTTACCGCTAACATTTTGTCTCCTCACAGGGTATCAGGACAGAGTCACAGCTGAGTTACCACCATCAAAGAGCCAAACATCAGTCCATTTAAGAAAACAGCATTGTTTAGTCCTCATCGTGTTAAACTTTAATTGTCACTTTTATGCTAAGTCATATTTGCATACATAAAGAGATGCATGGAGATGAAAAGTATTTTTTCAATTTGTAAATAATTTATTTAATATTTAATGGAAGTTTTATTTATTTTATAGCTCATTAAACTTTTTTAATCAAACAGACTGAGAGTTTGAATATTAATGTTGATACTCCAAGATATTTTTCTGCTAACACGTGGTTGATCATTTGAAAAGATGGCTGTCTCCCACATGTTTTGACAGAAATTGCTTTCTAAAATATTCCTTAGGAAGCACTCGGTTTCTGTTAGTGTACTGAGATAAGATCTCACTTTGCAGCCTTGGTTGGTATTGAATTTGTGATCTTCCTTAGCCTCATGAGTGTTAGGATTATAGGCATGCAGCACCATACCCATCTTTAGAAAGGACTCTTAATGGGAAAATTACAGTATCTGACAATCCTCACTAACATTAATAACTCCAAACTAGCTTTTCTTATTCCATATAGGACTCCTATCCAGTCTAGTTAGTTATGAAAAGCATCTGGGTTCAAGATGAAGTGTGACCTCTGTTATCAAAGACCCAATATCACCATAGATAAATTGACAAGAATTGCTTAAGTATTACTAAACTTGGACTTTTGGAGAACTATAAAGTATTTACCTTTGAGATTCTCGACATGAGTGCCTGAGGACCTATAACCCACGTCTTCCTTTCCCTTGCTACCACTATTCTTTTACACTATATACGTTATTTGGTGGGTATTCTTTCAAAACCATTAAGATTGTGAGGTCCCATACAGGCTGCTGCCTGGGTGACTGTCAGGTTAGCTGAGTATAAGACAACATACACTTTATAATACCCAGGAGAATATTTTGACAAAAGGCATAATATCAACAACCTTTCCACAGAACTTAATACATATAAAAGTGCCTATAGAACCTTTTGGTGAATGGCACACCACTCACCAAATCCCTTCCTCGTGATCATCCAACCACTTGGCCCTCAGCCTCAGCTCCACAAACTTCACTTGAGTATTGGTGGTCCCGACACCCACACTCCTGTTTCTCACTGGAAGAACTGCTTATGTTTCTATTTTAAATGAGTCCATACATGTTTCCTGTAAAAAGCCAACATTGAGAGCCTTTGATTTACTTCAGTTTAAACATCTTTGGAATACAATTTCCTCAGCCGTATTCACTACATTTTTGTTTCAGAAGATATATGTATAGTCCTGAGGATAAAGGATAGAAAATCCCTTGAAGAAATTTACTACCTATTGGCATGAGGGGTATATCTTGTCAGTACAGCACCATAGCAACTAGCTTGAAGTGTTAAGTAGGGATCCTGGGACCCTGGGAACTCACCCTGTGCAAGCTAAAGGATTTAGGGATCACTTCCTGGAGAGATGAGGCTTGAGAAGCATCAGTGAAATAGTTCAGTATTATTGAATTATTGAACTAAAGTGTTAAGTCAAGAGAGTCTTTAAGGAATCTGGAATGGTGAAGACAGAGTCACAAGACCTTTAACTTATACTCTAGCATAGCTGAAACAATTGGAGATAGGCAATAGGGGCAGAAACTTGAGTAGATTCGCATTCCAGACAAGTCATTAGGCCACCATGTTGTGGAGGGATTTAGGTCAGATGACTGACAGTTAAAATACTCCAAGAGAAAAAATGAGTACCTGAAGCTGAAAAATGAGACAACAGATTAAAAACACAATCCGCGATGTTTTAAAAACAAGACTGAGAATGATGAGATAGGAAATAAGAAATGACTCTAGATTGATCCTTAAGGTCCTGGCTGCTGAAGCTAAATGACTGATGACATCATGATTTAAGATAGAGAATCCTTTGGAATGGCTTATTAAATGTTTTTATAAGAGAAGTACAACTTGCCTTTTCCTTAACTGAAGAATAATCTTCTCTCTTTTGGGAAGTTATCTTTTCTAATTTGTAAGAGATATATATAAACAGTAAGTACCAGTTCCATCAACTAGTCAATGAAATAAAATATGGCCCTCACCTGGCATCTGAGATGGAGCATAAAGAAGAAAACCTCATTGTTAGTGTGTTGAGTTCAGCTAGAGATCTGTTGAGTTTGAAGTGCTGAATGCATGCAATAAAAGATACAATAAGTCTGAAGTTCAGAGAGAGAAAGAATTCATTGTACATTGAAAATTAGCCAAATGTATTTGGTAATGAAGCTGCACAAATACACAAGACTATCAAAGAAAATTATAATGAGTCTGAAGAATGTCTCTCTAGTGGTCACTAAACAATTAGAGCCTCCTACAGCCAGTATGAAGGTTATAGGCACATTCTTGTTGCCCCTCATACTTGCCTAGCCCTAAAATCAAAGTTTATGATGTAATTGGAGGTTGCCAGAAGGAGAAAAAAAGCTACCTTAACAATAGTAACAAAGTTTATTGAATACTTTGATATCCTGTGGACTCATCTAAGTGTTTTATATATAGAAACTTAAATATCTCCTTAGAAGGTAATACATTTCATAAGTAAAGTGATAGCCAGAGGGAGATGAAGTATCTTGTCTAACTAATGTCACACAGCTAGTAAATTGCAGTGTTTGTTCTCTAACTACAGAGCTGTCCCTCTTAAACTATCCTCTCCTCTACTTCATAAAGTCAAGGTGTTTGTTGGGTTTGGAGAGTTCACTTTGCTTACCAACTTACCATGGTTTTAACTGCTATTTATTTATAAGATATTGTATATATCTTGAAAACTCAAATAAGATGACACTTTTAATATATCTGTGTTACTTCCACAAAATTTCCCAGTGTATTTCCTACTTTATTATCTCTCAAAATATGACTGATCTGTAATTTATGATGTGTACTCAGTGAATGATAAACAGAGATGGAGACATATCAGACAGATAAACCTTACAGATACACAATTAGGCAAAATGCCGCTCTTTAGCTGACATAGTAACTCCACTTTATGAAAAAGCTGGTGTTCAGTTAATTAAATAATATCTACATATGAGTGTTGCTCAAGAGAAAGACGGGTTGTGAAGAGCTAGTTGAATTAGCCTGGAATAATAGCATTCCTTCTTGGAGTCAAGTCCTACTAATCCATTGCTTGAATTTAAGACCAGCAATACCAATTCTTCTTTAACCATCATTGTTATAGAAAGCATTTTGCCACTGGAGAGACTTGTGTGGTTTTGAAATACTCAATAATGTCATTGCTCTGTCTCATGGATTGATAACTTCTCAAGGAAGCTAAGAATATATAAAATTACACACAATTTTCAATCAATTAATATGGGGCTTGAGTAGTTATTCTATTCAGGTAACATTTCTTCTATATAAAATTGGCTCTGCTAGATTGCATTCTGGCTCTGCACTTTCCTTTTATTCAACAGCTCTTGTTAACTGCAGGAAGAATATTGATCCAGGTGAGCTGGAATAAGAACAACCAAAGAGTTCTAACCTACGAAGATGATTCAAGAGGAATTAATTAGTCTCCATGAAGCATGGTTACCATTCTTACCAGCTCTGGACTTCACCAAAATGTACAATGTCATAAAATAGACCACAAAATATTTCATATTAAAGACAGAAAAAGCATTTATGTGCAAACCTGCTTATAATCTGAAATAGAATTAAAAACAGAAATGATAGCGTGCTTCCCAAAATTGAAAACAAAAACTGTTACCAGGACCTGTGGAAAAATTTAAACTTAGTATCTAATT